GCCCGCCCACGACAGCTAGTCGCAAAAGTGCAAAAATTGTCGATACTCGTGCAGAAAATAGACAACCGTGTAGAAAGTAGAATTAGCAGGGCGAGTATTGATTAAATCGAAGAAATGTAAATGAAAATCCACATTCGATATGTTACGCGTCTAACTCGTACTGACCTAAACGAAGTTTAGAAAGGTGGAAAAACGCCGAGAGATTTGTACTCTCTTATTTGTCTCCTTTTAGTGACTCGAAATCGTCATAAATTATCACGTTTCTCTTTCTTATAAACGCGTTTCACGCTTCTTTAAGAAGTTCCCCCGTAGAAAATTATTCTACTCGGGAGGATAAATAATCGAGGAGAAGAATCCGCCTCAGTGTCGGATAATTTCCACACCTTTGTAAAATTACGCTGTCTCGTAAATGCCAACCGTTCTCGCCCGATGTTACGACTGGATCTACTTCACATTAATTATCCTCCCTTCTCGACGTCCCTCGTGCGGGATCGACGAGAGGAATATCGGATAGCATCATGTCGGGCGTAACACGTGCACACACGTGCGCAGGTTTGACTTGACGATTTTTCGGGGCCCTTAATCGTGTAGCGTCGAAACCTGAATCTGATTTATCGGTTATCGACGATAATACCTATGAAGGTGTACGCGGCCGATCCATCACTCTCTCGCGCGTTCGAATTATTCGGGGTGCATGAGAGACGGTGTTGCTGCACACTTCTGAGAGGACAAGGAGGGAAGAGGGAAGCTAAGAGTACATAAATGTACATAAATGTTGATGTGAGTAATGGCGCGCACGTTGTACAGGGCGATCTCGGTAAAATGGTCCCCTCGTAATGGATGCTTATGAGGCATACGCGAGAAAAGATAAATCGCTCGGAATACATACGCGAGTCGTTTATTTTGCGAGTGCCGCGATATTTTGAAAATTTATTCACACCTCTGGGATAAATATTATCAGCACCTCGGCATCATCGTATCGAATACAGCTAACGACCCGTGTTTTATTCCTCGATAAATTTCGTACAGATTTGACCGTGACTCGTGGATCGTAGTTACTAAAGAGTTGCTTGATGTTAAAAGTTAAAGTATTTCTAATTTGTTCTTAAACAAAAATCGTCTGAAAACCCAACAAAGAGAGAAAGCAACGATGATTCTGAGACGTTCCGTATGTCTGATTAGAATTTACGTTAAATAACAAAATACATACCGCTTGCGTTCTAATAAATAATTTGAATGTCCAATTAGCGCGATCCGACGAGACGGTAGGGGACACATCGATCATAAAAAGGGTTGATCCAATTACAGACTAATATTGGGACGTGTAAACTTTTTCCGTTAGAAAAAAAGGTGTTTCCGATCGGGCGAGAATTCGGTCCTGCTCTCTTTCTTTCTCGCCCCCGCGTCTACTTCTCGCATACACGCAGAAGTCTCACCATAACGAATCTCGGTCCAGAAGGGCTTGTGATAGGGACACCTCGATAGAAGGTGGTGGTAGGAAGATCCGGCCCATTAGTTACCACAAGCCTCTCGTCAAACAAGCCTCCGCATACGTAATGCACAGCGATAACGTCGCGCCGCGTCTCGTAATAACGCATAATCGGGTAATGCATTTCTCCCCGCGTTCTCTCGTTCTCGCTACAAGATTATTATTCATCGATAAAAACATTTGAACAATTCGCTTTAGGCTATGTGTATCAAATCGCGCCATGGAATACTTTTTTAACGCTTTTTTAAGTAAAATTATTATTCTTATTATTTGCGAATTTTATATTGAATAGTTCTCTCGTTTTTAAAAATATTCGAAAATATCGAATTTAATTTGTAGGTATAAAAACGAGTTATGAGTAGATAAATCAGAATTAAATGTTATAATATTGCTTTTTGTTTGAAAGAATGATGTTAGATTTACTCTTTTATGGCTAACTGAACACGGTTATATTTCCGGCAAAGCTATTTTAGATGTATCTATTCTTGATCGGTATACTTGGCTTTTTATTTAAAAAAGAAAAAAGAAAAATATAATTGTTAAGAAAATTCGATTATCGGAATTTATCTTTGTGACGAAAGATTTAACTCGTGAGAAACATATTGGCATGCTTGTCCATTCGTCGAAATAATTCGCGCGCTGTCAACAGTAACGAACAATTGTGCAATTACGTTCTTAATTATTTTCGAAACATTCGAACGTCCTTACACGCTCGAGATAATTATTCGTGAAGAATAATTTGTATTTCCATATTATTTCACATTAATTGTGCGTGCGGACGTACGCCATGCCACGTATGACATTTTGGCAGTCTTGCGGACGCCCTATTCTCGCCGAATTCTTGGCAGCGACGCGGTCAAAGAATATCTTCGAGATTCTCGCACAAGTCAACGCAATGAGGGAACATAGTAGACTGTGTCGCGTAGATTATTGTTTTTTTTTTCTTCGAACGTTTCGTCATTTCGTGAAACTAAACTTCATGTCGAAATTTTTTCTTGTAAACAACGCAATTATATTTTTGCGCGCAACACAAACTGAAGAAACATATTTTTCTGCGTTTTCCGAAAGCATGATTTGCATACTAACGATGTACTCGAGAAATGAATCAGAGTATTCCGTTCAATTGCCTCATAAATAACACGAGATCCAAGCGCGCGCGACTGTCATGAAGGCCCGACTGCCCGACGTTCTCACGTGATAATTGATGGGTACACGTGCGTTTAGGTGCGGAAAGGAAGCTTAGTAGGTACATCACACTCAGCTCAGATTAGGGTGTCTCATGGTAAAGGGCCGGGTGCATCGTGTCTGCGCTGGCAAACGTAGTCTGGATTCAAAATACAACGCGAAGCGCCGGCCATTTGTCTCTCATTTCGTTAAAGGCGGACCCAGTCTCTAGAAGGCATCCACGTCCTCGGAAACGTCATATGATCGATGAAACGCGTATGTCAACGTCCCACTAGTGAGCACTAAACAATGTAGCGCTTGAAACCGAACCGAAAGCTCAACGCGGTATTTGGGGAAAATGTCGCAAAGAATTATCGGAATTATAATTTAATATAAAGCCATGATTAAACGGCTGACATTAAAAAGGACGTATAGTGCGCTCTATATTTTCGAAAATAATTTTTCGACGAGAAAGATGAACCGAGGGACAAACGAAGGGTCCTAGAGAGTTTTTGGATGTACGAATATTTTTGAAAAATTAACTGATATTACTCAAATGGAATATACACATTAATTGGTACGTCAGTTTACACTTGAACAATACCGATTAATTTTTGAAATCAATAATTATTTTTAAAATTAAAATTAAAAACTTCCAAATTAGCGTGTGTCTTTATCACTTATACGAATATAATTATATAAATTTCATACGATTTTTTTATAAGTGTTTAGTATAATTAATGAATTTTGCATTAATTTTGCATTCTTCTAATAATATATTACGTATAGAAATTGGCTGAACGTAAGTTTATAGTTTACGGCATAATTCCCTTCGCCTATAATCTGTTCTTTTTCGGGAGAATCTCGGGGATTCTCAGGCCGTAATAGAGACGTTGAAAGATCCAGACTGGTTAAGCCATGGTCGTATCGACTGTGTGATCGTTCGGAGGGCGTGGTGCCGATACACTGGAAGATCGTTTGACACAAAAGCCGATCCGCTTCCTCCGGGCCGTGTTATTAACTTAACATATCTTCACGTTCAGTCTCACGATCGGGAATCGAGCGAGATCAATCGGGCGCCTTCATTCCTGACGCTCTCGAAACTCCCTTTCAAACGCGCCGAACAATTTATTACTCTTTTACTTTCTCCGCTATCCTTTTCTGCCTCGGCTCTCTATGTATCCGCCTGCGGATTCGCTATCGTCAGCGGTATCGGAGTCGCTGAGGCTGATAGAAGTATAGCTTACATGCGAGCCTAAATAAAAAAATCAACAAATCTTTATATGAAATTATGTCAATTTAATGTAAAATTTTGTACTTTTAATCTTTATTTTACGAAAATATCAAACGTAGAATTTATACTATACAAAATGCAATATACACAGATAAAAGATTTCTTTGGATTTAACACATGAGTTTGTTCGACTTGGGCTTGTTTAATATAAACAACACGATTTAATATCAAATATTATTTTGTTTAAGTTCGTTAATTTTGTTGAAAATGCTGTTGTTTTACTAAAGTAAACCATGTAGTTTGACAGAAAAACAATTATTTAGAGAATATAGATCTTTGAGTTATTAGTTAAAAAAGCTTCTATACATGGCCATCTTCAATCATTAATAACTCTGAAATAAAGCAAATAGAATACATGTTTATATGAACTTTTTTTTATTGCTTTTTCTTTTCCTGTTCATTTCTGAAGCGGGTTCACATATTAGGAAACATCCTGTATATTAAATATTGTTCCACTGAAACAAAAAGAAATTCTTTAATATTTCCCTAATATAATGTTATTTTTTAAAAATAATTTATTGTTCGTGACAACCATTGTGACGTTTGGATGAAAATACAAAAGCAGTGTTATTTGACATAAAGATATTTATTGTTTAAGAAACCAAACCATCCTGTTTATTGAATCAAACGTTTGTTTGCTTGCTCTATTTGAAAAGACAAATTTGTTTCAATTAAAGAAATTTTATTAAATCCAAAGAAATCTTTTCTCCGTGTAGAAGAAAAACCATATTATCGCGTACAAAGTGCTAGAGTCGGTACTATTGTTAAGAAGAAAGACTATATTATTGTTTGATACAAGATGTCATCTTATCCTTCGCTCGGAAGGAAAAGTAAACGGAACAGGGGAGAAAAAGTAGACCCATTACAGCGCACAGTGGCTTCGAAAGGTCAATGAATGGAGTCCTATTGCAGTCTCGTGCAACTTCACTACATATGGCCCATTCACACACGTGCTACGCACGGCGCGTAGCCCACGTGACCGCATTGACGTTCCATTCAAGTTGGCGCCGCCGCCCGGAGACGACGGTGAATCTTGGGTTAGCCTGTACATACCTTGCGAGGTTTCGAGGCGTGCACCACCTTCGGTCGTAAACACTGCTGCGCCAAGAGGAACGTGACGGAAACGGTGGCCAACAGTCCGGCACCCTTCTGGAACTTCCTCAAGCCGTTGTCAACACGCCATGAGACGTACGTGCGCGTGACGTCGCGAAAGTGCCGTGCGAACGGCGACACGCGTCGCAACGGGCGAACCATCGTCGCCATTTTCGACACGCGTAGTTGCTAACGCATGCGTCGTGCACACTCGTGCCTGCTACAAACGTCAGTATCTCCCGTCGGTATAGTGCCGTAGCGAAGAACTTTCCTGCCCGGCAACGAAAACGACATTTTCGACAACATTCGATCTTTTCGAGAAATTTACGAGCGAATATTCAGTTTAGGCTTTGAATTTCCGGTTTAGACTCTAATTTTTCAGAACACTGTATTGTTTCGTGTATATTATGTTCTTTTGGGAAAGCTGTATATCTACAACGATTTTCTTTTGTTTTTTTTGGTTTTTTAGTAGAAAATTTTATGTGGAAAAATAGATACAAGTACAAAATCTCTTGATTTAATTTTCGTTTTAAAATTCTCGAGAGAATATTCAGGGCGGCGAAAAGAATTCAGGATAGTTTTCTGCAATTTGGCCAATAACATACTTGTGACAAGGAATGTTTGCATAGGAAATTCGATCGGTATTGAGGGAATGAGATAGCTTTTGATCATATAACACGTTGATAGTCGATCTCATTCAACCAACATTTGTGTTAAGAGTAAAGCCAATAGCCGCATAGTTTTCAATGAGCCACAAAGACGATACCTATAGTTAATTTTATAATACTGCCATATCGCTCTTATCATTTCTTTGTTAGACAGGTGTCCAGTTATCGTACGATCGCATTTGGCACCGAGTCACAATATTCGACGTATTTAGCAGGACGTGTCTTTGACAGCCGCAGACAGTGACATGTGTGTTCGTCGTCGCGAGAGATTTATCTTCGAAAATATCTGAGGTACCAAGAAGAAAAAAACTCTTTTATATCGCCGCCTTTAACGTAAACACATGTAGAAAATATGCATTAACCAAATCACAGTCTATCGGTTGCGTATCCGCGCGCACGTGTCCAATATAAAAAAATTTAATTAATACATTTATTCACCTTTTACGTTTTAAGATTTCGAGATTATCCTTGCCGTCGCTAAAAATATCACGATCGTGCGATATTGTTATATATATTGTTTTTTTTCTTTTTTTCCATCGCATATTTATATAGTCTTAGAAAAAATTCTTGTATGTCGGTTTTTTATGAGATTTTCACATGAATAGAATTACTGCCGGTGTATGTAATATCATTATGAATTTTTCGTATTAGCGTGACACTCACATAACCTGACGGAATTTGCTTGTCCGCTCCACTTATGGAGTCCTCACACCACGAGTGTTATTTTCTCGAAAAGATAAGAATACTCGGCAATTCGCACACGAATACCAAATTAAGGACGTTTAAACCAAGAATGAGAAATATGTGTCGAATGTTGAAATTCCACGTATTTCGCTTATTGCAAGGCGTGCTTCCTCATTAACCCTTTTTCTCGAGTGAGCAGCTGCCCGAATTGAAAGATATTAAAGGGTTAATGATGGTGTAATAGGCGAATTAATACACGGATATGAGTCGAGTCTCGTGTAAAACGGCAGAACGAGAAGAAATCCGCTAAGTTCTGAATTGCATCATGTATATTGCGTCTCCTAAGTGTGTAAAGTGTCATAATCGTGCGTAAATCGTTTATTCGTCCAATCACTCACGAATTGATATCACATACCGATATCATCAGCTTGGACACGGAAAGCACCGGAACTAAATCCAAATACTTTGAGATCAATCTTGAATTCCTGACTGCGGGGACTGAAACTTTAAACGTACAGAACGAAAATTTCGGTTCGTTCCTACAAATTCACTCGTTTCTTGTTTTATTTAGCCCGCTCTGTTAGCAATATCATTGATATTCGAGATGCAAGAAATAATCCGTGGTGTGACTGCCCCTTTACGTCAGAACTCGATCTGTCCTTCACGAGACGACTCTTCGGGGCATGCCATAATCACGCATTAATTATGATCACGCTGGATGGCACGTAACCACATAAAATAAGTCGAGGCTACGCGGCCAGCCGTGCAACAACCTCGCTACGTCATTGCGAAAGGATCGAGGACCCGATGATTTACCCTTATTCCATCCGCCCCTTTCCCTCGTGTTTTGATCTATTTTCCGTGTTTTTAATCAAACGGTTCCTCTGTGTCCGCGACGGATAATCCGCTGTTCGTAGCCCATGTGCAGGGCGAAATTATCTTCTGCCAATAACTCCATATTATCATCCGGCTCAATCATCCGCGGCGTTTAAACGGCCATGTTACGCATTCCAGTTTGCGCCTCTAGTTGCTTCGCTAGCAGCCGGCCAAAGTTAGCCAAAGAAGTTATAAACCGAACGTGATGTAAGTTGGTTACGAGAGCTCACTCGAAGTTTAATAACAGTAATAGCGCGTGAGGATTATTTTAGGTAATTCCAACTGCTTATTTGTAAAGAAAAAAACAACGTTATTCCACAATATGGCTGGTTCAAGCGGATGAGGCCTCTTTGGGGATGCGCGTTTACAGAAAACGATTCACTAAACTCGTACACGAGAAAAACAATTTCGTCGTTTATAACTAAATTTGAAACTGAATTTCTCGTTGCTTGAGAACCAGACGAAAATTTAGTTGCAAGAACAGAAAGATTCTTGTGGGAGATTTCTATTAAGTCCATTGGTCTCAGTTGTCTCAACCGAGGAGTTTTAATGCAGCTGAAAATGTTCACACGAATGTTCTCAGTAACATATCACTTTATATCATTTCTTGTTGTCGAGTTTTCATTTCTTGTCACCGAGCTTTCATCTGGTCCCTATTCTGTTACAGGAACTGAGTTTTTTCCGTGTACATCTTGTTTCTGTCGTAATGCTTGAGAAACTCGTTTCTCTCAATTCCTCGAGATTTATACGCGTGACGAGTTTATTCGAGTCGGTTTGGAATAAATGATGTATTTATTCGTTTCTCGCGAGGTGGGATGTGCTGCAAAGCGAAGATGCGTGATTCTCGCTCGGGAATCGAAACGACGAGAATCGTTCAGACGACGAAGGATTAACCGAAGTGATTCACAAATCGCCGTCACGACGTTCGCGTGTTCCTTTCGTCGTTGTATAGATAGGAATAGAACTGAAGAGGGTCGCGTAGACGAAGGACGTTACGTAACGAGACAGAAGCTTCTTCACCCACGTCCCGACATCGCGTGACGCAACGCGAAAAGAGTTTGTTCGAGTAGCGCGAGTGCTAAAATTACGCAGGCTAATACAAACGTCGGTGTTACGCTCTCTCAATGTGTATCGAAGTGTCGTGTAATCACGTTGAACCCTTGCTTGGGTTCTTTGTGTCTCCATCCTAGAATAGTAGTCCGCGATCCTTTCCGATGCAAACATTCCGAGGAAAGTTTCGCATGACTTCTCTGTCAACAAGTTACATAATATTGAGTACAGCGCAAATATTATATACCGGGGGTCTACCAAGAGTATGGAAGCAGTGGATTATTTTCAAAACGTAATTGACTAGAAAACGGCTCAGACAAAAGTTGTAGGATTTGGAGAGAGACATAAGTTGGTGGCCTTAACTTCGTTGTAAAATCAATAATGCAATACTTTATGAGACATTTCATATTTTGCGCTGAAAAATATCAGAATAAAGAGTAAAATACCTCGAAAAGTATTCACTTCTCGATAATCTTATTCTAGTATTTTTATACGCAGAATAAATGGGGAAATCGATTTGTATTGACAAAACAATATGAATTCGTTAAAAAGAATGAAATTAATTTTCACGTAACTTTGGCGTCTCCACATAGAAAAAAAATTAGATGGCAAGAATACAGCCCTTCAAAATCATTTAATTTTCATCTAAACAATTTTTCTATAATGTCGATATTTAATACGTTATCTTAAATGGCAATTTTAAATCATCCACTCTGCATATAACGTGTTCAAACATCAGATATAAGAATTAACGTTATTTTTATACTTTTAAGAAATATTCCGCACGAGCTAATAAAAAATAATTCTAAAAATCTTACACGTATAATATTATTCGAAATACTTGAGATCTTGATAATAAAAGGATGTCTCTCCCATAATGACCATTTAATGTTATAGAGAGCTGAAAAAAAGGGAAGGAGATAGAAAGAAATTATTTGCCGAGCAAATTCCGTATAATCGCTGTTTGAAGAGAGTAAATAGTCTCTGTGGTATCCGAGCGCGGCACGAACTCGCGGATTAAGAAAATACACTTGGAAACTGCGGTGAGCTCGTTCGCTCGCGATCTGCCGGGTAAAAATCCATTTGACTTCATGCCGCAGCTGCCGTCGTCGTCGAGCGCGTTTAACCGGCAACGAGCGCTGCATCGAGGCTGCAACTACCTCGTCCACGCGCAGGACAAGTGCATCGTAGCGCGCAACGGGTTTACCGGGAGCGCGAGGTAGGCGTTAGATTTCTTGCCGCCCTGAGCGAAAAGTCGCACCTTCGGGTGAAGACTGCCACGAATCGAAAAGCGATCGATCTAATTTCTAAACATCAGAGCTCCTTCGCTCCAATTACGTCTGCGTAACTGAATGCAATTTCGTAGTGGCGTTTTCTATAAAAAAATCAATCTGATAATTGATTCAGTAATTATCAATTTTATTAACAATTATTAACGTATTAAAAAGTGAAATAGAAAATGATTGGTCTAATCACAAAAATTGAAAATTAATAAATCGACAATCAAAAAGCGACAAACATATGTTCTTCCGAATTTTCATTGAAGTAAAATCGATCGAATTCACCGTTAAATCAGTCATTCGCGACACTTTTTGGACACCTTGTATATACCAGGTAAAGAATTAAGCGTACCGTGAGAAACGCCCCAAGATGTTAAGGAATTACGGATTCCGGCACAACTTCCCTATAAGACCTGTCTGCAGGCTTTATCAGTGCACTGTTATCTCCTCTAATTTGAATAATCAAATTCGACACGGCTAATCGACTTATTCCAAGAACGCGGCGGAATGATGGCGGCAATAATGCCGATAACAGCGTGGGGCGGTATCATCGATATTCACCTAATAAAGTCTGATAGAGCAAAGCGGCCTGTAATGCCACCTGTACCACCTG